TGACCGAACCTAACCAACCCTACCTAACCTAACCTAACCTATCTCTGTAGGTTAGATTCGGTTAGGTAGCCGAAAAAGTTACGTTAGGTTAGGTTAGGTAGTCGAAAAACAATTAATTCATGAAAACTTGGCTTATTAGGCAAATTGGGCCTTGCATAGTAGGCTGAGAAATGCGTTCTGGCTACTAGGTACGACATATATATATATATATATATATATATATTAGAACTTGCGTTTCCCTGATTTTATATCTACATTTGAGTGAGGTGGGAAGGGTGATGTGGCATTACATTTGAGTAAGGTGGGAAGGATGATGTGGCATTAGAGGATATTAATAGGGTATTAAAAGTCTTGTTAGAAATTCTAACAAGAGAAATGTTGAACAAGAATACTTGCATAATAGACAAAACCCAAGATTCAAGAAGATTACAAATTCTTGAGGCAATTCACATAAGAATAGAGCGACCTACCATGAACACCCAAATCACGGAACTATTTACTCTACCCACCATGACAGTAAGGACAAGACAAGAACATATCGATGCCAACACAGAAGACAATGTCCAACATAACAGGCCAATTACACTGGATTAATCTTTGTGTTTAGATAGGAGATGCCTCGTATGGGCCAATAAGCCTTCTGCAGCCCCTATGTTTATCCCTTATGTATCCCCCCATGTTTTCACCTTCATTGTATTATCACCTGACCTAATGCGGGTATAAAATCAACTAGTATTGTAAGATCTGTTCACTTGAGAATGAACCATGGAGGTTCGAAACGTCGTGCAAATTATATAAATAAGTGTAATACACTCTATAGTAAATCACTTCTTTTCTTCACCTTAAAAGTACGAAAATGAGTTTTGGAGAACTCCTATTTCAATTAAGCCCTGATGCTTAATTGAAATAGGAGTTCTAATGACCCAAAGTGGATAACAAAGAATTTGAAGAACCTTATAGGTAAAAAGAGAGCTTGGTACAAAAGGATTAAAAATGGGGAGGTCACTTTAGAACAGGAATTCGTACAACTGGTTAGAAATGTTAAAAAAGAGATAAGGAAAGCAAAAAGAAACTATGAAGTTCGCATAGCAGGGCAAGCAAAGACAAATCCTAAAGGGTTTTTTTCAGTTATATCGTACTAAGACTAGGGAAAGGATAGGTCCATTAAAAACTGAGAAAGGTCAAATAACAGATAGTGATGAAGAGATGAGTAGTATTTTTAATAAATATTTTGTATCTGTATTTACTAAAGAGGAACTTAACAATATGCCTTCAGCCGAACAAGTCTATGTGGGTGGGGACGAGGACAGGTTGACGAGTTTAGCAGTTACCAGGGAGGATGTTCTTAAACAAATAGTAAAACTCAAACCAAACAAATCCCCAGGGCCGGATGAAGTGTTTGCTAGGGTGCTTAAAGAATGCAAAGAGGAGCTTTGTGACCCACTGTCAACCATATTTAATAAATCAATAGAGTCAGGCAGAGTGCCAGAGTTTTGGAAAGTTGCTAATGTGATACCAGTTTTTAAGAAAGGAGATAGATCACTTGCGTCTAACTATCGACCAATTAGCCTAACGTCTATTGTGGGAAAGTTACTCGAATCTATAATAGCAAATAAAATTCGTCTTCATCTTGAAAAACATAAATTAATAATTGAGTCGCAACATGGTTTTATAAATGGCCGTTCATGTTTAACAAATTTGTTATCTTTTTATTCTAGCATTGTTGAGGCAGTTGATAGTGGTAAGGATTGCGATGTTGTATACCTTGACTTTAGCAAAGCTTTTGATACAGTGCCACATGAAAGACTGATTAAAAAATAGAGTCTCATGGTATTGGGGGTGCTATATTAAGCTGGATTAGGGCATGGCTATACCAAAGGAAACAGAGAGTTAGTATAAATGGAATCAAGTCAGAGTGGGAAAATGTTGTAAGTGGAGTGCCTCAAGGCTCTGTCCTGGGACCTCTGTTGTTTATAATATATATAAATGATTTAGATTCAGGTTTGAGTAGCAACATTTGCAAATTTGCCGATGATACGAAAATCGGTAGGGAAATTAATTCGGAGGAGGACTCACTATTACTTCAAGTTGATCTAGATAGGGTTTTGAAATGGTCAAAGGATTGGCAGATGCAGTTTAATGCTGATAAATGTAAAGTTCTGAGGTTAGGTAATGATGATAGAGTTACAAGATACGAGCTAGATGGTGTTGTGATTGCGAAGTCGGATTGCGAAAGGGATCTGGGAGTTATGATTAGTAAGAATTTAAAACAAAAGGATCAATGCATAAATGTTCGTAATAAGGCAAATCGGACACTTGGATTTATTAATCGCAGCGTTAGTAACAAGACACCTGGTGTGGTTCTCAAGCTATATCTTGCTCTAGTTAGGCCCCATTTAGATTATGCAGTTCAGTTTTGGTCGCCATATTATAGAATGGATATAAATTCACTTGAACGTGTCCAGCGTAGGATGACTAAGTTAATTCCCCAAATTAGAAATCTTTCATATGAAGAAAGATTAACAAAGCTTAAGTTGCATTCACTGGAAAGGCGAAGAGTTAGGGGTGACATGATAGAGGTTTACAAGTGGATGAATGGACATAACCGGGGGGATATTAATAGGGTATTAAAAGTATCAACACAGGACAGAACACGAAACAATGGATATAAATTGGATAAGTTTAGATTTAGGAAAGACTTGGGTAAATACTGGTTCAGTAACAGGGTTGTTGATTTGTGGAACCAATTGCCGCGTAACATTGTGGAGGTGGGGTCCCTCGATTGTTTCAAGCACGGGTTGGACAAGTATATGAGTGGGATTGGGTGGTTATAGAATAGGAGCTGCCTCGTATGGGCCAATAGGCCTTCTGCAGTTACCTTTGTTCTTATGTTCTTATGTTCTTATGCTAAGAAAATAGTTAGAGGGATAGAAGCCCTAAACCAGAAAATAATAAATACAGAATATGCGGTCATATTCAATGAAACATGTTTGAAAGAAAACCTGCTGCCAGTATACACCAATATATATATATATATATATATATATATATATATATATATATATATATATATATATATATATATATATATATATATATATATAGATATGTCGTACCTAGTAGCCAGAATGCACTTCTGGACCTACTATGCAAGGCCCGATTTGCCTAATAAGCCAAGTTTTCATGAATTAATATATTTTCTCTAATTTTTTTCTTATAAAATGATAAAGCTACCCGTTTCATTATGTATGAGGTCAATTATTTATTATTGGAGTTAAAATTAACGTAGATATATGACCGAACCTAACCAACCCTACCTAACCTAACCTAACATAACCTATCTTTATAGGTTAGGTTAGGTAGCCGAAAAAGTTAGGTTAGGTTAGGTAGGTTAGGTAGTCGTAAAAACATTAATTCATGAGAACTTGGCTTATTAGGCAAATCGGGCTTTGCATAGTAGGCTGAGAAGTGCGCTCTGGCTACTACGTACGACATATATATATATATATATATATATATATATATATATATATATATATATATATATATATGTCGTACCTAATAGCCAGAACGCACTTCTCAGCCTACTATTCAAGGCCCGATTTGCCTAATAAGCCAAGTTTTCATGAATTAATGTTTTTTCGTCTACCTAACCTACCTAACCTAACCTAACCTAGCTTTTTTTGGCAACCTAACCTAACCTTACCTATAAATATAGGTTAGGTTAGGTTAGGTAGGGTTAGTTAGGTTCGGTCATATATCTATGTTAATTTTAACTCCAATAAAAAAAAATTGACCTCGTACATAGAGAAAAGGGTTGCTTTATCATTTCATAAGAAAAAAATTATAGTAAATATATTAATTCAGGAAAACTTGGCTTATTAGGCAAATCGGGCCTTGAATAGTAGGCTGAGAAGTGAGTTCTGGCTACTAGGTACGACATATATATATATATATATATATATATATATATATATATATATATATATATATATATATATATATGGAAAAATAAATGAATATATTTCCTTGGATATGCAGAACCTTATATTAATTCTATTTAAAATTTACATATTTTTGACACTGGAGCAGACGTTTTGCTAAATAATTCCCTGTTTTCTCTTATTTGAATTAAGGACGGACATAAATAACTATGGTAGCTTAAAAACACGAAAAAATGGACTGAACCTTAATTATTTTACATAATTCTACTTGTTCGCGATTATACCACATCCTTCAAAAGTCTTCCGATTAATGACTTTTGAGTGTAATAAGAAGGGATATTCTTTTTATTAATCACTAATAGCCAGATATTATGACCAAACCACACATCAGAAGATGGAGAAACGAGTAATAGAAATAATAGCCAGAGTTATGTTAAATATTGGTAGTTATAGGGAATTATGAGCAGAACCCAATATTCGCATAATATTATACAGATAAAAACGTTTGTTGATGTAAGCCGCATTGTAATGGGTAATAGGCATCAAGCTTAATAGGCCTTAAGCTGGACACACAACCCATTGTGTTGGATCACGACAATCCTACGATTCAAATACAGTGACCATATTATAATTATACAGAAAATTCACATATTTGTAAACCCATTGAGAATAAAAACTAATTTTGAGACTGAAGAAATTAAAACTAATGTTTATTATGTATGTGAGTCTAGTTACAGACTAAGGGTGTGAACGTGTCTCTTGAGATACAAACAAGAAGCACCTGAATACATTTTTTTTCTAACATGTGTAACATGTTGACCAGACCACACACTAGAAGTTGAAGGGACGACGACGTTTCGGTTCGTCCTGGACCATTCTCAAGTCGATTGTCACTGAGAATGGTCCAGGACGGACCGAAACGTCGTCGTCCCTTCAACTTCTAGTGTGTGGTCTGGTCAACATACTTCAGCCACGTTATTGTGACTCACCGCCTGCATGTGTAACATGTCATATATTGCCCAGGTGAGACAACATATATAAAGGCAGCTGACTCACTTGGCCTCGTTGAGCAGGTGTGTGTTAGCGCGTGTTATACACCTGTGAAGAAGGTGAAGAGCACCGCTGAAGTTGGTCATCTTGCAACACGTGTTTTCCGCTGTGAGGTTTGGGTGGTATCTGTAGCAGCTTCTTCTGTAGGCTGCATGTGGTGGTGTATATTGGAATAGTGGTGGTAGCTGTAAGTCTGGAAGCAACCAGAGCAACAGCAGTAAGATACCAACCTGTACACACAGTAGTACCTTCCTCGACATTGCTATTGTTGTTTCACCTGAAATAATAATGTTTCACCTGAAATAATAATGTTTCACCTGAAATAATAATGTTTCACCTGAAATAATAATGTTTCACCTGAAATAATAATGTTTCACCTGAAATAATAATGTTTCACCTGAAATAATAATGTTTCACCTGAAATAATACCTGAAATAATAATGTTTCACCTGAAATAATAATGTTTCACCTGAAATAATAATGTTTCACCTGAAATAATACCTGAAATAATAATGTTTCACCTGAAATAATAATGTTTCACCTGAAATAATAATGTTTCACCTGAAATAATAATGTTTCACCTGAAATAATAATGTTTCACCTGAAATAATAATGTTTCACCTGAAATAATAATGTTTCACCTGAAATAATAATGTTTCACCTGAAATAATACCTGAAATAATAATGTTTCACCTGAAATAATAATGTTTCACCTGAAATAATAATGTTTCACCTGAAAAAGATAAACTCGTCTGCAATCAATATTTCCGGATCTTAAAAATATTGCATCACGTACAGTTTCAGACCGTTATATATTTTAACTGTTAAGTGCCGGGTATCTGAACACTTAGAAAAGAAAAGTGTTGGAGATGAAGTATACAGATGGGGGGGGGGGTGCTGCTAGGATGGTTATAGTTCCCATTGTGGAGAGGAGGAAGCCAGGACCTAGATTGACGAAGCTCCATGTATTTCTTCGTAAGTAGGTTTGCTAATAAAGTTCCTAAGTGCCGACTAAGAACGCGCCAAAGGGCGATTCAGAAAAGGAAACTTATGAAGATTTCTAAGTAGTTCACTTAGGTCTCGCTAGATGTCACTAGGCTTTTAGTTTGGCCAATCAGAGAGAAGGTAACATTTTTCATCTTTCAGCTGTAGCGAATCACGACGCTCGGATATCGGAACTTATCCGTGACCACTTGCGACTTATTTACGTCGAATTTTCTTATAAAATTAGTACATTTCGAAGTAAAACTTGTGTTTTTTCAACTTGTACAGTCAGCACCGACATTGTAGTATACAAATATGTTAAATTTTTTGTTTATCTACGTAATTCTAAGAGATAGTGTATGGCTTCCCTTGTCGCTCCCAAGATTTGAGAAGCGATGGTATTTATTTACGTATATATTTACCTAAATTTACCCAAGGGCCACTGTGTAGCTGTCCTTGTTGCTCGGAAGATACGCTGACAATTATTGTATATGTTTACTGAATTTACCCAAGGGCCACTAACTATCTAGTCGAGGACGGAAAGCCGGCGGCTTGTTAAAGGGCTCGCCAACTGTCTTAATGATATTGTTTAGCTGGATTTTGGCATTTATGGCTTCAGCGGGTAGGCGGTTCTATGGGTTTATAACCCTCTGGGTGAAAAACGTCTGTTTTCAGTCCTACTTGAGAGAACATACTCTCCAACAGTATATCTGTGATTGCCCTGTTATCTGTGACTTCATACCAAATGGTATGAGGTACTTTGAGCTCTGTAATTACTTCATACACTCAGGATTATTGGAAGATATTCTTGTGCTGCATCCAGATTTTGCCAGTGGAGGCTAATAGATCAGCCTTAAATATTTTGTTCTCTCCTGATTCCATGTATGACTGGCCGTCCTGTGAGGTGGGGATGTTGGATGAGCTTGTAGCTGGTTTTTGATGTACACTGTGTGGTCCTTCATACAGAATAGGGAAGCAGCACATTGCTGTGTATACCTAAACATGTTTAAAAAAAATCATTGAGAGGATTCTTGTAGAAACTGGTAAGAGTAATTATAACATAATGTTTCCATGATTCAGTGCTTACCTCTTGTGAAAATCGTGAAGTTGTTTAGTCAGAGTTGAATGTTTTTTATATTGAGGCTGGTATTTTCGCCCTTGATTCCATGTATGCCTAACCATCTTGTGAGATGGGAGTATTAGATAAACTTATAGCTAGTTTTTTTTTATCTACATTGTGTAATCTTCCATATAGAATAGGGTAGCAGCACATTGCTGTGTATACCCAAGTTTCTCAATAAAAAAAAATCAGTAATAAAGATGATAAATTATCCTTGTATTATTACCAGTATTATCATTAATAAATAATGTTAACCATGGATCATTAAGATCTAATGTTGATATGTAATAGTCATATTTCTTTTGAATCATTCATTAAATTGTGCATTATGTCTTATTTTTTTCACTTCTTTGGATACCCTGTACAGTACAAAAAGATTGAGTAAAAATAAACCAGTAATATTTCTTTCATTATATTTTTTTATTTAAATAACTGCATCAATATTTTACAGCTTTGATATCCCCAGAGTCAAACTTAATCTGTGTAAACACTCTATGCAAATGAAGGGACCCAGTCTATGGAGCTCCCTCCCTAATGAGTTGAAAAGCTGTTCAACTTTTGCCTCATTCAAAAACAAAAACAAAAAGTACCTAATTTCATCTTCATAGTTTCCTAATTTGTGCTTTATTCAAAATTCTATATTTGCCTCATTTTTATTCCTATATTTGACTATATTTATTCTATATTTGCCTCATTGAAAAACAAAGCCAAAAAGTGCCTAATTTCATCTTCATAGTTTCCTACCTTGTGCTTTAAAATTGCACTGTATCTGGTGCTACCCAATCCCCCAATTTTTATGTACCTCATCCAAACAACTTTACCATTGTGATCATTGCTGCCTTCTTATATGTGCTATCAAAATGCTGTATTGCGCCTATTAATCTTTGTTAAATTACAAAACAAACTGTCAATGCAATCAATCACAGTTACTGATGTGCTTTAATATACCTACTAATCTCTCTCATCTCATATTTTCTTCCCATGTACCTGTTAACATTTTATAAATATTGCTAGAATTTACCTACATAAAATTATCTGTTAGGTTAAGGACCTGCCTTAAGGTTAAGGCATTACAACAATGTGAAGACCATGCTATGTATCCTCACAAACCCACTGCATATATATATATATATATATATATATATATATATATATATATATATATATATATATATATATATATATATATATATATATATATATATATATATATATATATATATATGTGTGTGTGTGAACAAGCCTGAATGGTCCCCAGGGCTATATGCAACTGAAAACTCACACCCCAGAAGTGACTCGAACCCATACTGCCAGGAGCAATGCAACTGGTATGTACAGGACGCCTTAATCCACTTGACCATCACGACCCGACAAAAACTGATGGTAGCCGAGGCTATTTAGCCCATCAGCCCGCAGGCACTCTGATAGTAATCTTGGGCATAGCATTTTATCAAATCACCTCATTCAAAGAATGAGGTGATTAGTCCTGGGGACCATTCAGGCTTGTTTGCATTTGTGTTCCTCACGTGTGCCCCAAAGATTGAGGTGATTTGATAAAATGCTATGCCCAAGATTACTATCAGAGTGCCGGCGGGCTGATGGGATAAATAGCCTCTGCTACCAACAGTTTTTGTCCGGTCGTGATAGTCAAGTGGATTAAGGCGTCCTGTACATACCAGTTGCGTTGCTCCTGGCAGTATGGGTTTGAGTCACTTCTGGGGTGTGAGTTTTCAGTTTGATATATATATATATATATATATATATATATATATATATATATATATATATATATATATATATATATATATATATATATATATATATATATATATATATATATATATATATATATATATATATATATATATATATATATATATATATATATATATATAAGTTCCTGTAAAATAGTCTACACTAAGGAAACGAACATAGGAATGTGCCTAAATGCCAACAGCGACTGCCCAGACAGGTACAAGAGGAGTGTTGTTAACGCATATGTCGACCGTGCTCTCAGCCACAGCTCAGAATGGAAGCAAGTCGACGAAGAACTCTGTAGGGTGAGGCAGGTCCTAGTCAACAACGGCTTCTCCAATGGTTTCGTCGAAGACATCATAAGAAGGAAAGTGAAACGCCATGCAACCTCTGAAGAGACGACTAACACAACACCTATACCCCCTATTAGACTATTTTACAGGAACTTCTTTTCCACAGCTCATAAAACGGAGGAAAGGGTCCTGAAAGATATTGTTAATAGAAACGTTATCCCTACAGACAAAAATCAGAGGATACAACTGACGATTTACTATAAAACCAGAAAAACGACCAGCCTACTCATGAGAAACTCTCCAGACACAAAGCAGAACGCTTTAAAAGAGACCAACGTCGTCTATGCCTTCAAATGCCCTCTTGGGGACTGTAAGCTCCAAAAAACCCAGTATATAGGCAAGACAACAACATCTCTTTCTAGGCGTTTAACGATGCATAGGCAACAGGGCTCCATTAAGGAACATATAATCTCTTCCTACAACCAAACCATCGCCAGAGAAATCCTAGTAAACAACACAGAAATCATCGATAGATACAGCGATAGCAGGCGGCTTGACGTTTGCGAGGCACTACACATTAAAAAGTCAACACCAGCAATCAACAGCCAATTAATGCACAACTATATTCTACCCACCTCAAGACTCCGCTCCAATATAGAAGCATCAAGAAATATGGACCAATAGGCTTTCTGCAATCACTTCCATTCAATACCCATTGTTTCGTGTTCTGTCTTGTGTTGATGAAATTAATACCCTATTAAATACCACCTCACCCCATCCACCTCACTCAAATGTAGATATAAACAAATCGGAGATGTGCAAGTTCTATTCAGTTGTGTTTGTGTAAACTAAAGTCTTTGAAAATGTAATAAGTTTTACGAAACGTGCTCAAGTGTCGCGTCAGACTAGAAATAAAAATGAATTTTGGAGAATTGATTTTTGAATTACCACCAACAGTGAAAAGAAATGTACGAAAGATTGAGAAAATTCGTGTTATAATTATTAATCTTACTTTTTCGGTCATATTTAATAATATATGTATACATATATATATATACATACATATATGTATATATATATGTATATATATATATATATATATATATATATATA